GACGCCACTTGGGTGGCCGAGAACGCCGACAGGGTCTCCGCACAGTCACCGCTCCCTTCTGGCAGGCGCGATCGCGCCGAGGAGCGCCGCTGGCAGCAGACAGCGCTTCGGCTGTTCTCCCGTCGCGAGCTCCACCAATCGGCGCTGACGCACCGCAGTGGCGCCGCGCGCTCCCGGCTCGATAGGATCGATTGGAATCAGGGCGCGGCGAAGCAACTCGACCGCGACATGTATTCCGTCCCGCTGAATTGGGCCCCGACGCTGTCACGCCACCAGGCCGGAGATTGCCCGCCCGGGCGGCTGGCAACGCGCCCGACGCGCTCGTGGCTGTGCAGCACGCTGATTGGGCCTATTGCGTCGAGCTGGCGTTCCAGGAACGAGCAGCGGCTGAGCCGGAAGCGTCGCCCCTGCGCCGCTTGGCGCTGCCCAGAGATGCAATGCAGCCCGCGGACATCCAGCCGAAACAGCTGAAGACAGGGTCGGGATGACGTTGTAATTTCTGAGGGCCGTCGAGGGCGGGCGCGTGGGGCGCGCGGGCCCTTGCTCGGAGTGCTACCTTCACCAAGTCGACCTGGCGGCCCCTGCTGCGCGCGTCTGGGCATCTCCAGGCCGTCAGGGACCACGCGGACGAGCTTGCCCGCAAGCACGCGGCGTCCAAGCTCCAGCAGCTCCGAATAGACATCCCAGGGCTGGATGCCTGCCAGGCCGCCGCGCGGTGCAGCCGGAATTGGAATTTGCTCGTCAGGCTGGGGCCGGGCGGCTGCCGGCCCCTCTGGGCCGTGCCCAGCCGCGCATGGGAGGTGCTCGCGCGCAGCCTGCAGCCATGACCGACGCCCCCCGCGAGCGCTGGGGCGCGATTTTCAGCGCGCGGCCCACGGACAGGCGCTTCCACCAGCAGTGGTTGAAGAACGGGCGGGCTGCCCGTGCAGGACAGGGCGCGTCGAAGCTGCCGTCGGCCCGCGGCCCGCGCCGGCGCCGCCGCCTGAGCGACGCGCGGCACGCGGCGGACCAAGCGCCGTCCACTTTGCCCAGCCCAGACGGGCTGCCTTTTCTCGGCGTGGAAGCGACTCGGCCCGCTGGCCGCAGAAGTCTCACACGGCGACCACGCGCAATTGTGCAGCCCAGGGGCGAACGAGGCCATTATGAGGGATCTGCCAAGCTACAACAACAGTTTGATGGTTTTTCAGCCGAGGACGGCGACTGGAGAATGGCCAGACGGAGTCCCTCACTACGCTGCCAGCGACGCCCAGCCCCTGAGCCTCGTCAACGCGGATGACAGGATTCTCGCCTGGGCTGTCCGCCGCCGAAGCGAGCCTCTCCTCGCGCAGGTCGTCTCTCTAGAGCAACGCGGGTTCGTCGGCGGCCGCTCCCTGCTCGCTAACGTCGTGGATGTCGGCGAAGCAATGCAGGTCACCGCGCTCGCGGCGCCAGACGGAGCGGCCGCGTTATTCGACTTCGCCGCGGCGTTCCCCAGTGTGGGCCAGGAGTTTCTCCTCGAGGTCCTCGCGGGCTCGGGCCCCCCCGCGATTGTCTCGGGCTACGCCGGCGCGAGTTCCCAACAGCTGCGCGGCGGGCCTGCGCGGGCGATCCGGCGATGGCCCTCCCTCAAGACGCTGTCGCCGCCGGCTGGGCTGGAGGCGCTCTTCGACGAGTGCGCCACCATGTCGGGCCTTCGCATCGATATCAGCAAGACTGTCTGGATCCCGCTCCGGACGGGCGACCCCGTCAGCGCGCGCCTAGATGCGGCGGCGGGCGCGCCCTCTTGGAGCGAATTTCGATTCGCGCATCGCGCGCAATATCTCGGGTTCGTTCATAGGCCAGGTCGCAGCGAACACAGCTGGGACGCTGCCTGCGCGAAGCTCAGGAGACGCACCCAGGACTGGGGCCGCTCCGGAGGCGGGATGCGCACGAACGCGGCGGCTTATTCGGCGCATGCGTTCTCGACGTTGAGTTCCCTGGCGCAGTTGGGCGCCCCGCCGGCAGCGTGGCCCAGATTGGTGAGGCGATGCAGTCGCTCTACCCGGGCCCATTGCGCTGGGCGCCGCCAGCTGCCGCGCACGGCCTGCCACACCTGGGCTTCCCCGCTTCGCTTCCAAACCTCCCCGTGGTGGCCTTGGCGTCGAAGCGTCGGGTCTGGTCTGCCAGTGGGGGGCGGCCGCAAAGGGCGGCCTCCGCGTGGCGGAGCGGGCTGCCCGGCAACGCGAGGTGCCTCTTTTCTGCTCTCAGCATTTGGAGCATTTTGGCGCCTGGGCGAGATGGTTCGATCAGGCGTTCGTCTTGCAGCTGGACGATGCTCGGCGATCCGTCGAGGCGCGCGGTCCGTTGCCCCCGCGGGTGGCCCGCGCCACCGGAGTCAAAGGCATTGCTCGACAACGCAAGGTGTGGCAGCGCACTCGCGCTCAGCTCATCACACCCGGTCGCGCTCCCGAGCTACGTGCTTTCCTGCAAACGAGACTACCGAGGTGGGAGAGCGGCCTCTCCGCGCAGACCATGGTGGACCGGGTGCTGACGACGTTCCCCGCGGTGGCCTGGACGTGTCCTCCGCGGGCGCTAGCCGTTTGCATCCGGTCAACCTGGACTGGCTGGATCACGAGCCGCCGCTTCCGGGCGCGGTAGGCCTGCTACTTCGGGTGCGCAGCCGGAGATGATTCCATGGAGCATTACGCAGAGTGCCCGCACATGTCCGCAGGAGTGCACCGCGAACTGGGCATGGCGCGCCCGACCACGCCAGAGCTACGCCTGGCCAGCTTCCTACTGCTCGAGCCGGCGTATTCTGAGACGACCGCACCAGAACTGCGACGACGTGCTCTGGCCATGTGCGGCGTGTATCTCGCGCACTGCTGGGCCCGCCACACGGCCGCCAGAGGGCCGCCCGAGTGTCGCAATGCACTGGGGCTCAAACTCCAGGAGATCTTCTGATGATCGTAGTGCCGCTTCCTCCCTCGCCCCCCCGTGCGTTCATGCTGTCGTTGTCCTGCCCGAGGCTATGCTCCAGGCAGAGCGCCGCAGGCGGCGTGGCGACCACCATGGCTCGTGAGGTACATGTTTCACATTTCTCTTTCTTCCCCTCGCTCTTCTCGCCCTCTCCCCCCGAATCGTGGTGCCGATCTGCTTGTCGGAACCGGCAGTTGCGTCTGCGGCGGTGGAGGCTCCGAACGGTCGACTCGAGCGCGCAGCCGCCCTCGTCCCCTCTCTTCTTTCCTCCGCCTCCTCCGTCCTCTGCCTCCTCGCCTTCCCTTTCCCCCCGAATCATGGTGCCGATCTGTTCGTCGGAACCGGCGGTTGAGTCTGCAGCGGTGGAGGCCCCGAGCGGTCGACTCGAGCTCTGTAGCCGCCCTCCTGCCCTCCCTTCCTCCGTCTTCCGCCTTTTCCCTCCGCCTCGTCCCTCTCCCTCCGAATCGTGGTGCCGATCTGTTTGTCTGAGCCGCCAGGTGTGCGCAGGGTTGTGGAAGCCCCGAGCGCTCGAGCGTGCAGTTGCCCGCCACACTTCTGTTCGGAGCTGGCAAGTGTGTCCGCGGCTGTGGAGGCCCCCGGCGTTCGTCGTTACGTGCAGTCGCCCTCATCTCCTCCTGTCCTGTGTCCTCTGCCTCTTGTCCTCGCCCCCCCCTCCCCTGGGATCTTGGCACGGCGTGCGCCAAGGTGGCCGCGCTTGTGCAGAAAATTGGCCCATGCGCCGGCTGCGCGCGGGGGTGGGCCACCGACGTGCCGCCGGGTCTCGTTTGCCGCTCCCTTCAGGGAGTCGTTGCTTACCCGCACTGCCTTCGTTGGCTCGCCGCCTCCACACAGCATGGCCGTGTGGACAGCCTCATGCAATCTTCGGTCTATCAGTTGCCATTTGGGCGCAGCTCTTCGTCTTGCCTGTCTCACTCCGTTGGGGCATCCTTGCGCGGTATTGATAGTTCAGCGCGCTTGATCGCAGATCCTCTGAGCTGGGAGGGTCGTGCAGGCAGCATCTTGCTTTTGGACGTACCAGCCTATCCTCGATTTCAGGCTGGACGCCGATGTGGTCCCCCCTCCTTCTCCATCCTCCCCATCATTTTCCTTTTCCCCCCCCCGCCGCGTGACCGTCCAGATCGTTACGGCGGATGCCCAGTACTAGAGATGATACGATCTGCGGGCCGTAATTCGTGACATTTCCGTTGCGTGCCCATTTCAGTTGCGTGCCCCCGTCTTTGCATCATGGGCGGTATTTTTCAAGACGATTTAATGCATCTGCATTGGCAGCGTTGTCTCTACTTCGCGCTCTGTTTGCACTTGGCCCGTGATGCGAACGGCACGCGCACGAGCTACAGGCATGTGGATGTCTGCGTGGAAAAAAGGAAGGCCTTCCAGCAATTCACAAGTCTATCCAACACATGGCCGCGGGCGTAGCTTGACCCGAGGGCTCGTTTCAACATGCCGTACAGCGACCAACGGCATAATACCTTCCTTGATTGAGTCGTTGTGTAAGACCTCATTATACAATTGGTCGTCGGGACCACATGGGGATTGATGCACAAACGGCCCCTTTGGCTGTTCTCGTCTCCTCCGCCTCGTCCTCACCTTGGGGTTGCAATTGTGTAACTTAGACGCTGGGCAGGCTTAGTCGCAGCTGTCGGTCACTGCCGGCATTCGTTGCGACCCGCCCCAAAACAAAACAATGACCGACAGCAAAATCGCCACCCCATCCCCGCCCTCCACAACCCAGGCGTCTGTGACAGACTGGTGCTGGACGCAGACATGCCCGTACTATGTGCGCCTCGTCGCCACATGGGCGAGGCGCGCGCCGAAACATCTTCCAGTATCTGCTCCGTGGGGCGATTTCTGGCCGTACATCTCGGGAGATGATGCAGTACAAGCTGGTTGTACGACGTGTCTGGGTCGGACGCACGCCTCCGAGGAGGACACATAGTACTAGCATGTCTTTGTGCGTCCCAATCGTCGCCGACGGGGTTCCGCGAGAGCCGCAGGGGCAGGGACGCCCCTGCGCCCTGGGCTCCGCGTCTTATGGCGCCCGGCAGGCTGGCGACGAGGCGGGGTGCGAGGAGGAGGAGCCGCCTTGTCCTGGCGTTGCGTAACGGGGGGGCCGATAAGTGGGGGGCGAAAAAAGTGCGCCTCCTGTGCCCTGAAGGGGCCCAAAAGGGGTGCGAAAAGTGCACGTTGCCCCCCCACCTCCCCCACGTGTCGCCCCCCCATTAAGCAACGCCCCACTTTTCATTTCCTCTCCCAGATATCCGGGGTCTCGGGAATAATCCAGACGAAGATTTGTTCATTGTTTTCGGCCTCTCGGAGCCCTTACCGGGCCTCGGCACCGTTAACAAACGACTCGGCATGAAAAATTGGTCCCAGGGAAGTGGTCGAGAGGTCAGGGGCCAGTGTTTCGAAAACACCGTGACGCCGGATGTGTGGGCTTGCTCTTTCTCGTCTCTCGGGTGGGGGTGGTCGGGCGGGCTCAGGACTGGGATACGAGGTTCCAGAGCATTCTGCAACGCTTTCGAAGCGGAGCGCTCTCAGAGCGTTCCCGAGAGCTCTGGGATGGCCGCGGCGCCCGATACATCGCGTCTACGAAGGTTTGGGGAATTCGGCTCAATCACCTCCGTGGCTGCGACGGTGTAGCTCATTCTTGAGTATCATAGCCTGGTGGCGGTGTCCGACGAGATCAGTTGTTTTACAGGTCGACCTGAACGGGCTCCCCCTGACAACAGAGGAGGATGCGCATCAGCGGATGATTTTCAGGTCCGACCTGAAAAATGCCAGGTCGAGCCGATCAGTGCCGAGGTGCCCCCCAACACCACCACCACGAAGCCAAGCATCCGGAAGGACGCGTGGGCAGAAGAGCGCACGATTGGCGACACTTCAGGAAAATGATCAAAGCGAGAACGCCCCACGACTGTGAAGCAGGAAAATAACGCGCCCGACTGTGAAGCAAAGACGGGCAGCGAGGCATTACTCAGTGACAGAGAGAAACAAGGAGCGCCTCACGACTGTGAGGCAGGCAAAGGAGCGCCCGACTGTGAAGCAGAGGATGGAGCGCCCGACTGTGAATCACAAGACTGGCAGCGAGGCACGAAGAGGAGGAGGAGGAGGAGGAGGAGGAGGAGGAGGGGGAGAGAGAGGGGATACTGTCTATGATTACAAAAGCTCATACACCGAAGTGGCCAATCGCTGCCGCGGCCGCCCACGCCTCCTCCGGGAAGCCCATTGCCTGGGAGAGCCGTCAGCGTTGCAGAGCATTGCTCTCGTCAAACAAGATCCACTTGAATTTGCGATCTTGGTGTACAGTGCCACTTGTCTGTCAGACAATACGTCAGAAAGCGGCTTCGCACCGGCCTTGTCCAGCACGGCGGTGTTGGCGACCCTGGAAATAAACGACGGCGGAATACCCAATATCTTCCGGATGCATTTGCAGTGAAATGCGTCCAATCGCGCTCTCTCGGCTTTGAGCAACCATACTGAATCCAAAGAGTACAATACCTTGCTCAAGACGCAAGCATGGTAAATATTATATTTCTTTTTCCATCCAATGGCGGCGTGAGACCATACTTTTTACAGCTGCTTGAAGATGTTCGCTCCTCCTCCCAACCTCCGAGACAACTTACTCCCAGCTTTTGCGTCGCAATAAATGCGCCCACCCAAGTAAACTGCTTCCCTGACGGATGTGATGTTTTCGCCCGTGGTTCTTCTCCCTTCTTGAGGTGTCCCCCCCGCGCTTGAAATATTACACCCCGGTGACGTTGTCCGATGTTTGCACTGTTTGTCGATTATATTATTGAAGGGACTTGGAGGGACTTGAAAATTCAGGCCCGAGGTGGTTGCGCCCTCACGCCTGTACATGTCTGAACTCGCTCACTCGCGATTCGCATGCACGGCGATGCCATGCGTTGAAGTTGTCAGGAGCGCGTTTTTCGAGAATTTTTCGTATACGGTCAGTACATCCCCCAGAACCGTCGGATCTTAGAGTTCCCCGATCTGTCTTGGTCCGATTTAATGCTAGTCCTGGCCTTGTCTCAGAGGGGTGGCTGCGTGTGCTGCGTTCGCGAGGCAGCGCATGAACCCCTCTGAAGATGCCCCTGTCTCGGGGCCATGCGCGTGCCCATGCCCAGATCGAACTCTTGCGCGCGCTCACGTGAACTGAGCCGCCCGGCGACCTTTACAGTTCTGAGTGCGCTGCTTGATCGATCACATGGCGTTCTCCACCTCCTCGTGCACCCTCCGCGTCCGCCTCGGCCTGGCGTGCCTCGTCCCTCCACCCCTTCTTGTTGCATCGTTGGCGCGAGTGCAGCGTGCTTGGACCAGAGAAGCCGCGTACATGTGCAGAGTGTGTTATGCCAAGGAAGGCCCAGAGCAGGAATACGGCTTGCCTCCCAGTTGGATTTCGGGCTTGCGCGGATGATTTGCAACGGCCCGCGAATTTAGCGATCATGAGCAACAGCATTTTTTTACCACCTCGTTGGCTGAGGCGGATGACAACGATGAGTGGTGAGGAGGTGCAGGAGGATGGGGAGGAGCAGGGGTCGGATTAATGGGGAGAAAGAGTGCTACGTTGAGTCTGTCGCTTGTCACGATTGCGATCATGGCGATGTCGGTACCGATTATGGGTGCCATGTTCATAATGATGCTGTTGATCATGGTGGGAATAGTGCTAATGAGGAGTAGGACCATGAGGATGTGAATTCACCTGATGATTGTGAAGACGAGGGAGATATCGATGCTGGCGATGACGATTAACACGACGACGATGACAACGATGATGAGGTTGATGCTGATGACGATGATGATGTTTCTGGTAATGGTGACGGTGATGGTGATGACTCCCATGATGCTGATGATGATGATGATGAAGAAGAAGAATCTGATGATGATGATGATGATGATGATGATGATGCTTATGCTGATTCTGCTTCTGCTTCTGCTTCTGCTGTTGCTGATGATCAACACGCCCCAAGGCGTTCAAGAGCGCCCGCTCGACCGCCAGCTGCTCTGATGTCTTTTCCCTCGGCTGTTCGAGCAGCATGGAGTCAACGGATCGTTCGCACGAGCAAGCTGGAATCGCACGACAGGGGCGCAGTATCGCGCCAGAGTGGGATGGACCTAAGCTTCGGCCGATCTCGCAAGGACGGAAAGAGCGTTCTATGACGCTGCTGGCAGGGGGTGAAGGGGGGTTCTGGACCCCCCGAACAATATTGGGTTGGTCAGACCCCTCCCTCCCACACAAGAGCAAGGCAGCAAACGACGACGACGGCAACGGACGATGACGGACGACGACGACGACGACCATCACGACGACGACGACGACCATCACGACAACGACAACGATGATGGCGACGACGGACGACGACGACAAAGACGACGAATACGACGACGACAAAGACGACAACGACGACGACGGTGACGAAAACGTCGACGACGACGACGACGACGGACGACTGCGACGACGACGACGACGGCGACGACGACGACGGCGACGGAGGCGACGGCGACGGCGACGGCGGGCGGGTCAGGTCGGGTCGGGCGGGACAGCCAGCGACGGCGACGGCCGCGGCGGCGACGACGACGTCGACGATGGCGACGACGACGACGGCGGCGGCTGCGGCGGCCACGACAGCGGCGGCGGCGATGGCGGCGGTGTGGACCGGACCTTAATGTCGTCTGTTTCTGGCCCGTGGTGGATATGACCTAATTCGGACTCTGGTCTGGCCCGTGGTGGCAACGACGACGGCGACGACGGCGTCGACGATGACGACGGCGACAACGACGACGGCGATGGCGGCGGCGGTGACGATGGTGGCGGCGGCGACGGAGGCGGCTGCGGTGGTGGACCTGACCTAACTGGAGTGTGGCTCTGGACCGTGGTGGGTGTGACCTACTTGGGAGTCAGGTTTGGCTCTTGACGGCGACGACGACGACGACGACGACGGCGACAACGGCGACGGCGACGGCGACGGCGACGGCGACGACGACGACGACAATGGCGAGCGCGACAACGACGACGGCGGCGACGACGGCGACGCCGGCTGCATCGACGGCGGCGGCGACGACGACGGTGGTAGACCGGACCTCATTGAGGTATGGCTTTGACCCGTAGTGGAAGTGACCTAGTTTGAATTACGACGACGGCGACCACGACGACGACCCCACCCGACCTGAGTCGTCGTCGTTCTTCGCCGTCGCCGTCGCCGTCAGCGTCGTCCTCGTGGTCTTCGTCGTCTTCGTCGTCGTCTTTATCTTTGTATTTGTCGCCGTCGTCATAATCGTCGTCGTCCGTCGTCGTCGTCGTCGTCGGCAGTCGTCGTCCGTCGCCTGTCGTCGTCGTCGTGGTGTCCGTGGTGGTGGTGGTGGTGGTGGTGGTCGTCGTCGTCGTTCTCCGCCTTGCTCCAAGGGCGGGGGGAACTCCGGACCCCCCCCAAGATTTTCAGAGAGCCGCGCAGCTCCGTGTGATGAGTTCCAGAAAGGGCGTCGCCCTCAAGGATCGAATGGGTTCGCATCTCTCTTCCTGAAGGTGCACCGGGCCCAGTGCCGTGCAAAAAGGAAGGACGGCGGAAGCGTGGCCCACGGGGCGGCCCGAAGGCCCAAGGCAACGGCTCGAGGAGCGAGCGCAGCCCCGAAGGCCCAAGGCAACAGCGCGCCGGCGGCGGCACGCTCAGAGCAAGAGCCACCGTGCCGCGAGGCGAGGTCGTGGCCGTTGTGTTGGTCGTGGTCATGGTCGTCGTGGTGGTGGTGGTCGGTCTTGGTCGTCGTCGTGGTTATCGCTGTCGTCGTCGTGGTCGTCGACGTCTCGGTCGTCGTCGTGGTCGTGGACGTGGTCGTGGTCGTGGTCGTCGTCGTGGTCGTCGTGGTCGTCGTGGTCGTCGTCGTCGTGGTCGTCGTCGTCGTTGGCGGCGTCGTTGTCGTCGTCGTGGTCGTCATCGTGGTCGTCGTCGTCGTCGTCGTGTCCGTGGTGGTCGTCGTGCCGCGAGGCGAGGGAGGGTGCGGCGGAGCCTCAGGTGACGCGCGAGATGGCGGGGCCCCGGGCCTGTTCTGGGCGCCCCGGCGCTGACACCTGCCTCGCGCGTCGGTGTTCGGAGGTTGCGGCTGCCGACGAAGACGACGATGCTGACGATGGCCTTGGCGATGGTGGTGGCATGACGATGACGATGATGGTGATGATGAGGGTGACGATGATGACGATGATGGCGATGGCCATTACGATGATGATGATGATGATGATGATGATGATGATGCCGCTTATGATGATGATGATGATGATGATGATGAGGAGGAGGAGGAGGATGCGCATGGAGTTGATGACGACGACGATGACGATGCCGATGACGATGACGATGACGACGACGATGATGATGATTATGCTGATGATGACGACGACTATGACGATGATGGCGACGATGACGATGACGGTGTTGTTGATGATGCTGGTGATGGTGATGATGTTTACGATGCGCATGGTACTCTTAATGACGATGACGACAAGGATGATGACGATGATGAGGGTGATGCTGATGATGACGATGATGATGGCGACGTCGATAATTATGATACTAATGACGATGATTATGAGGATGATCATGATGATCACGATGACGATGATCTGATGATGACGATGAGGATGATGGTGACGATGATGATGAAAATGATGTTGCTGCTGATGAGTTTGATGATGATGATGATGATGATGATGATGATGGTGGTGATGATGATGGTGGTGGTGGTGATGATTAGGCTGCTGCTGGTGGTGATGATTGTGATGATGGTGCTGATGATGATGGTGATGATGATGATAAGGATGCTGATTATGATGATGCTGATGGTGATGATGATGATGATGCCGAGCATGATGCTGATGATGCTGATGGTTTTGTTGGTGATTGTGATGATGATGATGATGATGATGATGATGACGACGGTGACCGCAGCAGGAGGAGCTGGTGTGGGGCGCGCGGAAAGCGGGCGGCTCCGAGGAGGGTTCGGCAAAGGGCCCTTCGCTCGGTGCGCTCTGCTCGCGGGGCAGACCCAGCTGGGGGCACCACGTGGACCTCGCGCCAGACTGCCGCATCGCGGTGGGCGAGGACATATACCTTGGCCATTCCGCGGTGCTGGCGGCAAGGCCGGACATCCCTCCTCTCTCTTTCTGTCACTCGCTCATTCCATGGATGCTGCATGTGGGCAAGTGTCTTGTCTGGCAGCACGCGCATTGCGGTTGATTTCAACGGCGGCGGGGCAATAATATTCTGGTCTCAACCAGGCCGTGTGTTCTAATCGAGAAGAGCTTCCGTCTGGGCATCGCTACTTGTCGCCGAGTTGGAAGCGACTCTCAAAGTTTTTTTTCGTGAGTTTCATCGGGTAGCTCCTCTTTGTGCCTCGCGGTACGGTCAGTCCAGAACATCACGGTCTGTCTTGCGCACGGGGGTTCTAGTGTGTGCGATGCCGACTCATCATACGCATGCAGCAGGCGTCGGTGACGGCATTTTTGGCGTTTCGCCGCTAGCAGTTTTATCCGTTCTTGGAATTCTGTCGATGGCACAACCCACATACGATCAGCAATTGGCATCCCATCAACAGTTCGTGGAGTCTCAAAACGGATTTATCGCCATGCGACGCGGCATCTTGGGAGAAATGGAGAGCCCTGTTGCGCCACTGCATGCCGCTGAGAGTAGTGAGTCGTCGTCGCCGCCTTCGTCTACGGCGTCGTCGCCAGCTTGTTCGCCAGTGAATTACAAGGTCGCGTGCGTAGAGGAGTTTGTTTTGGCCAAAGCGTACATGGACTCAGATTTTGGCAGTGGGCGAGCGTGTGCAAGGGAGTACGTTGACGGGTAATTGCAGCAAATCGTTCGGGATATGATTCGCACTATTCGTGATATTGTTGGGAAAACCGTCTCTGCACGTTTACTCGTTTTGTTGAATGATTTCGAGGCGTCGGTTGCGACTAAGTTATTACTTCCACTCAGTTGCTTGCGTTTGTGGTCAAGGCCATTGGACCTCACATTGATAGCTGTGCAGAATCAGTTGCTGACAAGTTCCCGCTGCTGGAGGGTTGCATCATGGAGCTGAGGGCTCTGGGTTCGAGGGGTGAATCGGCATCTTCACCGGGCGTTCGGCCTCGTTCCTTTCAAACCGTTCGTGTTCGCTCTCCTGGCGCGGCGGGAGCGGATCGCCATGGTACACCTGTGACTGAACAGCCACAGCCAGCCCCTCCGCAATCAGGAGTGTGCCGGTACGGGCGACGGTGTTTCAGGTGGGATTGCGTTTTCACCCACCTTGGTTGCCGCATCGCAGAGCGGGGGTCTGAGGAGCGCTCGGACGGCACCGCGGTGGCGTCGAGCGGCCCGCCGAGGATTTCGCCGAGTGCTCGCCCGATTGACGATGAAATATTCAAAAATGTAGCGGCGATGGTCAAGCTCGAGGAGTTCCATGGGCAGCTTCTGGCCGCAGCAGTTCTTGAGGATCTAATTCGGCCTATTCCCGATCCTAGCGTTAATTGTTTGGTGTGTCGGTTTTGCTCACTGTCGCTCAGGATTTGTCCGACGCTCTACCTGTACCCTGTGGTGTTTTTTTTGTTTTCTGACTGGTTCTTCTACTTCGCGTGCAGCATCAGTGTGTGAGCTTGACCTTCCCACAAGGGCACGCGCTTTATAGAAACCGGCTTTCGGCCACGCTTCACCTCCTCCCGCCCCCTCCTTCCCCCCCTCCCACCTCTTCCCCTTCCTCCTCAGCCGCCTTCCCGGCTCAGGTTTCGGGCACTGCTACCAGGTAGCAGCGAACCCGAACAGGGACAGCTGCCACACGCGCCGGCCCTTCCATCCGCGTGCGCCCCAAGACGTGGGCATTGGGCCGACCGTGATCATATCCAACCGCGGCTCTTGCGAGAGCGAGAAGTACAGGACCGTCCTGGCACAGAAGGGAACGTGCAGCGCGCAGTCAAGCACGCACCCTGATACAAGTGGCCACAGCAGCAAATTTGTTGAACAACCACCACAGTGCGTACATAAACGACAAGCAGTCAGACAGCACGTTCGAGTACAAGGATCGTTCTCGCAGACCAAACAGGCAGCAACAACACATACCTCCATGGCAGCGACAGCAGCAGCAGCAGCGTAAGGTCTTCCATGCGAAGCAGTGTCGATACAGGAAGAATCGGGGATGTCCAGCATGCTCTTGTGCAAATCCATGGGGTGCTAAACATGCAGACGATGTCATCCGAACAGAGGATCTGATCCCGCAGCGTCAGTATCAAGCAGTAGTGGATGGCAGAGCAAGAGATCCCCGCGCACACCCTCTCGCACGAAAGGGCAGTCCAGCACGAGGGGGGTTCCATCCATGCAGCCAGCCACGACATCATCACCGCATATCGAAGAGCAGCTTCCAAGTATGCCCGTCAGTCCTGAGATCGCCATGGCACATAAAGGATGGCAGGACTCCCCATATGGATCCACAGCAGTTGGGAGATTTCAGACGAGCGCTAATCGATCATATGGTCTTGATTTGGAGCGACAAGTCAAATGCGCCACAGGTCTGAATCTTGCTCCTGACCAGATCAACGAGCCCAAAGAAGAATATTCAGTCCTCCTGTACCAAATTATGTACTCCAGATCTCCGCAGGCCAGAGTTTCCAAACTAGCCCTATTTGTCAGCAGATGCAGACGGCCATTCGCAGATGCCCATGCCAGATGCACAGATCTGATCGATCTCGAGACGGCGCAAGCTCAGCGCGATGAGCTACAGCTGGAACTCACAGCGGCAGAAGAGCTTTTCGAGCACTTCGAGGACTTACCAACATAATCTCAAGAGTATCGTGAGTCTCGTGGACCACAACGTGCGCTAGTAGTCGACGAGGCACGTGGCGCCCACATGGCTGAAGATGAGGATGCGGCCCCGCTCCGATGTGGACGGCGTCCGAGTGCGGTCGCAGGGCGGCAACGGAGTTGCAGCCGCGCAGCCAGCGCCGCAGCTTCAGCAGCTCCATCAGCGGGTAGCACAGCCTGGAGGAGCACAGCCTGGAGGAGCAGCCGCAGCTCTATCAGCAGAGGCCGGCGCTACACCGGCGATTCTGGCAGCGCTGCAGTTTCAGAATGCGTTACTCGCCGAATCAATGAGGGAGTTCCAGGAGACCGTCAATCACCTGCAGCAGGGCGTCGTGAAGATCAGGGCGCAGGACATGGATAGCATGAAATCAGCGGCCATTGACGCAGCCATCAAAGCCTTGAAGAAACCCAAGGTCAAGACCATGACGCAAGCAGAAGAGCAAGCAGCAGCAGGACGTGCCCGTCTTCAAGCGGCACTACGCGGTGAGCTTCCCGCGCAGCACGCATCGCCAGCCACGCCCGCTGCTCAATCATCGGCACAGACACCGAGGCCCGCGCGCATTGGCGCGCGCCGGGCTTCCCCATGGCGGCGGCAGACAGGGGGATCGGGGGCCAAGATGCGACGAGACGAAGGGGGTGGAGCACTGGGCGCAGGCGCGGGGGCTCCAGTCGCCCAGAACACGGTCGACTTCGAGGACGAGCGACCTCTGAGCCACCCAGCCCCCATCGGCCCCCAGGAGGCCGCAGCCTCTTTCCCTGCGCCGCCATCATCAGGCAGCCGTGTTTTTCGTTAGCCAACTCGTTTGCGCGCATTCAGTGCTCGGCAACGCCAGGCTATTCAGCATGGCCACGTTGCTAATTCAGATCAGCTCGCCAAGGCCCCAGGGGTGCAGCAGCGTGGCCCCCCCCCCTCCAGCCAGCTCCCGGGCACGCCGTTTGTTTGGCCCATGCGAGGCTTTGCCCATTCCCCTCTCCCTCCACTCCAAGGCGCCAAGGGGCTCCTCAAACGACCTTGGGCCCTCGCTCTGCCTCGGGATCTACTTTCGCTTGCGCCCTTTCGGCGCTCCGCGACAATCAAAAGATTGGGGGAACTGCGTGTATGTTACCCCTTCTAACGAATTTGCGTGGCACGAGGTCTTCACTGACGCGACCTTAGGGGAATTCAAGCACAACTATCAACAATGCGTTCCTGCATGGGTTTTTTGCGCGCTGATTATTTCCACAGTTGGACGTGCCCTGGTCGGCCACGTGGCAGGACCAGTCCGAGATGTTGAGACAGCGGGCTCACTTGCGCCACTCTGCTTGGAGATTGAAGCGGCCATCTAGGCGATTGCATGGCGCCCCCAATGCCTGGCCACGCCCGCTGTGCACCTCACCCTACGCAGTGACAACGTGGACGTCGCACGCGCATTGCAAGAGGGCGATGTTACTGGGGCCACAATGCGCGCCAAGCGCATGCTGGACAGTCTCATGCACATCCTGCGCGCGCGGCGCGATGCAGTTCTTGCAGCCGTTCATGGGGCCCAGTTGGCGATCAATCATCTTGCAGGAGCCTCGCCGGACAGCGCTGCCACGGGTGCGGGTTGAACATTTGCACGCGTCGCAGCGCGCAGCTTGCCCACCCGCCGCCGGCGCGGCCATTTCCGCCCACCTACCGCCGACAACGACCATGCTCGACATTGTGCCCAAACGCCGCTCTGGAGGACCTCAGAGAAGGCCCAGAATTCTCGATGCCCTGTGCTGGGTGGCTTTTGCCAATGTGCCCATCATGGGCCCCAGGGGTTTCGCTGGGAGCTCGCGAGGGGTTCGCGCGGCAGGATGCGACGCGTCTAGACGGATGATGCACTTGGCGGGTCAGTCCCCCCACGAACCATACTCATTTGTGGGAGTTGTGGAGGCGCGCGCGCAGCTTTCGGGCACCGCTACCATAGGTCCATACTACATGCTCAACGCGCCAGTCAGCCCATCAGGCGATGACGGCTGCTATCTGTGGGTACACGCAGACTTCGAATATCAATCAGGTTGCAGGTTCGAACCCAGACGTTGCCAGGTGGTGCGCCCCTCTGCAGAGGCTCTCATTGCCATAGTGATAGCGCCCGCCCTTTCTGTTTGCGTTGGTGTCGGCCGCGCTCCGCATTCCCTCCGCCCCCCGCAATGAATGTCCGACGTGTGGGCCTCCCGCGCTGACCTCCTCAAGACCAGTAGGGCCATTGCGCAGCATGTGTTTGCGTTGATGGGCGCCAGAGCGGCTCTCGGTTCGGTCGCCGACGACGCCACGGGTGATGTAGACGTTGAGAAGGGGAGC